ATAATAAAAATATTATATAAATAAAGCTATTTATTTCATTTATATTTAAATACAAATTATATAAATTAATATATAGCAACAGGAAAGGTCAGTTTGTTTTTCGCAATGACAAATGTTAGACGATGGGTTATATAAAGTAGTATTTATTTCTTTAAACTAGTACGAGTACGTCTTAAGCCCGATAGCCGCCCCTCTTGGGTCGGTTTGCCACTGATACTGCGTCGTTATCTTTTTCCATTTCCTGAACTGGCAATTTTCTATTGACGCCTGGTGTACTTGTTTCTACAGCATTTTTGACTAACTCTCCTAATTCTGGTGTCGTAGTCTCGGTTTGTCGTGAGTTTCTATTGGGTGTCCCACAGAGTTCATTTGGTGGTTTAAAATTAAATTTTGGATTTAATGACAACAAGCGCTTTACCAAACAGTATTGGAACATTTGAAGTCAAATGCCCGGTTTGTTTCGATGCATCATTTGTGTCATCGGCCTGTTGGCATAAAAATTGCTTTGAACCATCTTGAGGAAGAACCCATTGACTTAATACAATATTAGCGCTTCCCATCTCTTCACTTCCTTCACCGTTTTCAACTTTTATATTCGACTTTTTCTCAGCTGCTGGCAATTTGCTGCTACAGCAGGAGTAATCTCTTTCTCCTTTTGAAGATGATATTAGCACATTCTTGCCATTAGCCGTTTGAAAACCTGCAGAAACAAGCGAACTTTCCGGATTAATGACCTTGCAAACATTATCTTGATGTATTTGAAAGGTCGCTTGAAAGCTTGTTTTGTTGGCTGTTTGCGCACTGCTGTTTGCATTTTTTCCAAATTTTGACTCCATAGTTTTAATCGACATTCGATCTTTTATGTCTTTTAGTTCAGTTTCATAATGCGTTTCCTGCAAATTGTCTTGAAATTCTCTTAGAATATTTTGCACGGCTATTTGGCTTTCTTTCGATATGGAGATTTTTTTTACCACTCGCTGTTTGAAAACTCGCAGAACTAAGCGAACTTCCCAGATTATTCACCTTGCCCACTTAATCCCGACTCACTTTACTTTTCACTTCTTCCCATTCGTTTTCAATAAAAATTTCATTCAGACCAACTGCGTTGTTACCTACTCCCAACTCCTGCCGTTCTCCTAGTCCTAATGCAAGATTAGTTGCGCTCAGCTCCAAGTTCTTGGAGCACCCACTATTACCAATCAAAATAATAATAAAATAATAAGCATAATAAAATATGAGGAATATCAATGCCATACCCTGGGTTATCTGCTTATTTACTGGGAACTTAGACGTATGGGGAAAACTATTATTCATCTTCACATCTTGATGTAGGATTTCTTGAGTGCTTATGGAAGCAATAATGTCATCATCATCGTCATCCCAATCGTAATTCTTACTTATCTCAGTTTCACACTAATTAGATGGCGCCAAAACTGAAAAATTTTAGATTATCTTAAATTAACTTAAATGTTGTCTCTTCACAAATTTTAAAAACAACTTACTTTGATTTACGTTGTAAGTGTCCTTTTTCTCGCTATCGTCAGAACGTCGATCTGAAGCTTTTCCTAAAAAGAATGTACAAAGTTAGGGTTGTTAAAAAAACCCTATAAAGAGCCACTTACTTTCTGGATCGTATAAAAGAGCCAATTTTGCCTTTTCTCTAAATTCACGGCTGTAGTTTTTCTTAGGTTTTCCCCGTAAAATAAATAAAGGGGACCTTTCCAAATTCTTTAACTTACTCTCGGATGATACTACAGGACCGTTAATGGGCGATGTAGAAAAGTCCTCAAATATTATATCCACAATTGTTTTTTTTTTTGTTGTCATCATGATCTCCTTCTTCTGGAGCGTCCTCAAATGTTATATCCACATTTGTTTCTTTTTTGTTGTCATCATGATCTCCTTCTGGAGCGTCTATGTTTTTTACTTCTTTCATCGAATCTTCCGCTTTATCACAACATTTGATTAACTCTTTATCAGTGATATGAAATTCACTTTCAGTAGACTGTGATAATAATTCATGACGTGCTGTAAATTTATGAGATGCTGTTAAATTGTCAAAATTGCTTATTGTCGTCTACACATAAGGCCGGGAATCCACGAAGGACATTATTTCATCTTCGTATCGACCCACACTTTTTTCTAAAGCGATATCTTTTTAAATTACCAATGTTTTATTGATATCATTCAACTTTGGGGATTCTACGTTTTCACCCATTTTTCAAATTTAATGCAAATTATTTTGATTTTTAGTTCTTCTTGCTCTTCTTCTCCTATTCTGGAGAATTACCTATTTGGATAAAAGGAATATTTATAGATGATCAGCCATGTACCGGTTATAGTTTTAGTAAAGGTGATTGTTCGCCGTTTGATTTAATGGGAACATGTCATATGCATACGTCATTAGGATTGTGGTTTTACCTTACAATGTTTTAAAACCGTAAACTTTCATCATAGACTATTTGAATTGTTAAAATTCGGCGAAGATCCGGGCGTTGAAGAGGATATGCTTTGTATTATTAATCATATTTTGGAAAATGATTGCAGTGTTATGGTTACGGATAACCAAAATGAGATAAGAGCCAACGTCGACCATTCATGTGCATTTAAGGGGAAACGAGCCCAAAACTTAATATAATTGATAGTTCATTTGCCATCATTTAAGACTATAAAACGAGTAACCAAAAAGTAGCATTACTTCTTAATGTGTTAGGTATTCAAAGTATGAACAGTTTCGAATGATGGCCACGATCAAGAAAGTTTATTGTCGGAAAAGAACAACGGTAGACAAGAAAATTCAAAAAGCTAATTTGGTAAACAATTTCTTATATTTTCCTAAATTGCAAAAAATAATATCCGTATATTCAAACTTTTTAATATCTATTTCAAATTTCGATAGGTTGAATCAAAATGGTCATCACACGTTCAAAATAGTACACATTCCAAAAGCCTTCAAAAAAATGAAGTTAATGCAAACGCTCAGGACAAGAATGTTAGCGGAAAAAAGGATGCAAGTCCAAAAAAACAAATAATAAACCATTACGCTCCTTTAATCATATCTGCCATTTTTATTCGCCTCTGGCTCAAAATCCAATGTTCAGGCAGATTTTGCGATCGAACATAATTTTCTTAATTGTTTTATCTACCTGACTATCAAACGTCTATAGGCGTTTTTCAAGTCCTATTCAATTACTATGATATTGTGTTCGCAACTCTCATCTATGTACTCGGCTATCCAGGTTAGACATAAGCGGTTCGTGAAAATCGAATGAAGCCGTTTTCTTGAGTTCTATCCTTTCTGTATACACTAAATATCATACATTTTTCCAGATTCTCATAACTCATGCGAAGAGCCTGCAGTAGTGTTCACTAGCTATAGCTTTGAAATATTTTTGGTGCTTTTTCGAGCTAAACCAAAAGCCGCAAATGAAAAGTTGCTTGATGTTTACTGTTAATAGTTCATAGCTTATACTTTAGAGCTTACAAATGCATCCACTTCAGCAGCAAATGGACTGAAAAAGTGCGGTTGCAATTATAGTTAATTTCTTTTTCTTTTCCTATTTACGTAAAAGTGTGAAATGATAAAAGTTTTTTTTTATAAAAGTTTGCAAAATTGATGCAGCAAGGAATCCGCTCTTGTAAGCATACCGTCAATGTAAAATTCAGAAAAATTTTTTATTAAATTTGATATAAATTTAATAAAATCGATTGCGCTCATTTCAAGTTTCTATATCAATTATCTCATCTAACTTTTCATTTGTCGATTGATAGATATGAGGTCAATAATGCTTTATAAGGCTTAAAAATTTACATTGAATGTGAAATGTACTATGCAACGGCGCGCCACGGTATTAATTATCACTATAAGTATTATGCAACTCTCTCAAAGGAATAAATGCAAACTGGGAACTGGGGTCAGCTGCGGTCGATATTCTTCTTAAACTTTTTTTCTTGCTTCTACAGCTTAGATGGCCCTACGCAAAAAATCAAAGGCAGCAAGTATATGAAAATAAATGTTTTTAATTTAGGTGAAATTTCTAAACATGGCCGTCTGAGCCGACGCAATCGTGAAGCCAGTACGTATACATCTGGTCAACAGCAACATTAACAAC